AGTGACCTTACTATAACATCAGACATTAAGGAAACATGCAATGTTGAAGTGTTAGCTTCTCTGTCAACAACGCGGCAGCCAGTATATCCTCCTTCTATAATAATAGTAATAATAATAATAACTTTATTTATATAGCACCTTTAAAAACACAGGTTCACAGGAGAGAACTCCCATGATTCCCCACCAGCTTTAACATTATCTTTTGTTATTGTATTGGTTGAGAGCCCCCTGGTGGCGGAATCTACACGCTGTGCCTTTAATATGAATAATAGAAGGCAAAGACATGTAAAAACAAGTAAAGGATGTCCAATAATGTTGAGGCATGTGTTTGCCAGTTTTCCTGTCAGTAATGGGGGGATTACATACGGGGAATATCAAGAAATCCTTTGTTTGATTTACCATATGAAGGCCTGAGCTGCTGCCCGACCCGAGGGAAGCCGTTCAAACACAGACAGGACACCGAGGGCATATCAGGTCATGCTTTATCAGTCTGCCCTAAAATTGGATTTGACGTTGTACTGGGAAGGTGAGGCAGATTTTGGAGCGTTGATTCCTCATACCTTTCCCCTCAAGACCACTTACTTTGTAGATTCATCCCATAACGTTGGTGTGATTTACAACCGTGTCAGGAGGACTTTGCTGTAGGTCTCCATCACCTCTGAAAATCATTTTCTCTATGTCAGAGTGTGTACTTCTTTTCACACATTGGTAGAACTATTGGAATGAGGAAAATATATACAAATAACCAAAGCAGTCTACAATATCAAAATCCTCTGCTTTGAATGTTGATTTTGTTTTTCATAAAGAGAGGTGCTTTCTGTTTTTAAATATTTCAAGAAGCAAACTCACAACATCAACAGAAAACTCCTCAGTGGCATCATAGTGATCAATTATTTAAAAAAATGTGTTCATTATCAAGCTTTTGTGGTCTGAAATTGAATGTTCTATTTAAAATGAAGGCACGACTCTTAAAGCTTTGTTTGTTTAAAGAATGATTAATTTACAGCTCTGAATGAACGAGTCCCTGAACAAAGACGAGGGAGGAAACAGCAGCGCTTCTGAATAACTGAAGAGCTTTGCATATAGTCATTTCTATGGGCAGCTTGTAGATACCTTTTAGAACAGTTTAAATAATGAAGGTGGTAAAGGATTGCTAACTAGGCCTGTCCCTGACTAAGGATTTAAATAGAGTAGTCAAACCTGATTTGTCAGATTGTGCCTGTAGTCTGCCATATTCTCATTTGAGTTTAACCACATCATTCAACTATTTGTCTTCTAGACTTTGGATAAAATCTTATTCTATGATAGGACTTGATCCATCCTTTTTCCTCACTCATCATCACTGACGTCCCAGTGTGTTCGGGTCAGACCACCAACATACAAACGATGTCTTTAAACCTACCACTTAAAGATTTACTGAACTCTCCCGATCATAGTAATCCACCAGAAATGAGTCCCAACGATTTCAATTCTACAATTCACTTAGCAGACGCTTTTATCCAAAGCGACGTACATCAGAGAGTAAGTACAACACTAATCCATTCATACACCGCCAGCGAAGCAGCGGGAGCCATGCAGGGCTCAGCTGGGGATCGAACCCTTGACGATTGTGAGGCGTCGACTCTACCAACTGAGCGTCGACTCTACCAACTGAGCCACAGCCACCACCCTAAATCCAGTTAAAAGATTTATTCAGAACATAATACATCCATAAACATCCAATGAACAGTTAAAAAAACGTTGCTATTCCGCTGACCTTTTGATAACCGCCAATCTTTGTTTAAATACCTAGCCTTTAAATCAACACACACAAAGTTCCTCAGAGTAACTTGAAAGGGTTTAAAGTGTAAAAAAAAATATATTCTACCAGTCTAAAGGCTTATTGGGTTACTATATGTCACCTCAACACTACTGTAGTTGCAGATCAAAAAGCTAAGTAGAAGGAAACTCTTGTGCTTCAGCCGCTCCACAAATGACGGTCGGTGCTCTCAGAGAAGGACCTCAGACGTGCACAATCTAATTCAGTGGACTCCTTCTCTGAGGCAGGATCCAAAGAAAGTTCTGGAGCAAAGGAATCACTTAAGGCTAATTTATTATGGTGCAAAGGACTTAACATTTCACCGCACCCCGTCTTCCTCAGAGTCAGAGTCCTCAATGTCAAAACTGTTTTTTCAGTACGTCTAAGAAATAGCTACAATGGGCTAAAAGTAAGTTTAGAGCCAAATTTAACAGCAGAGTTAAAGCGTTAGTGTTTTACATCTAGTCATGTAATGCATCCTATTCAATCTTATTTCAAAATTTTGGTTATTGTGGATTTTAAAAACTCTGTAAGAAGGTTGTCAGCCAACACAAACATGGAGTTTTGTGTGTTTAAAGAGAAATGTTAAGGATTAAAAACTGTAATATATTTGTCAGTGTGGTAATGAAAGGAACACAAGAGAGTAAAGAGTTTAGGTACTTAGGTATTTATACGTAGAAGTGATTATTTATGAGTATAGTTGTCAGTTCACTCTAAATTCATTTAACACTGTAATGTTTCTGTCTGTGAGACTACAGCCACGACAGTCATTTTCAGTTAAATGAGACACATAAGAATGTCTGCGTATCTGCCCGAGCGCTGACATAAACACTCGTGTACACACACACACACACACACACACACACACACACACACACACACACACACACACACACACACACACACACACACACACACACACACACACACACACACTTAGAGCGAGCGAGCGGTGTGTATCAGCTATAATTTAATCAGGCTGGAGCAGCGTCTGGGCTGCGGGTGATTCTGATAACAGCGCAGACGTCTCCTCTGAGAGCTCGTCGTGTGGATTCAGGAGCTCTCCCGGCAGGCGACTCTTTTGTTGCTGGGGAATGAGGACTGATAAGCAGGGCACCGAAATCACCCATGGAGAATGAGAGGAGAGGGGGGGGACAGTGGCGGAGCAAGACAAAGGCTGTTAAATTTAACCGCCAAGGGCACAAAGCGGCACTCCAGCTCTGATTGATTAGCTCCCCAAAGTCGATGATGTTCAACCGGTTCTGGTTTGTTAAGAGACCGGCCTCTGTCTCTCACTGCTTTATCAGTGTATCGCATGTCTGTGTTCTTATCTGTAGTCCATCACATGCAAACACAGTACACCCACACACACCCACACACACACACACACACTGATCAAAGCTTTGTTGATGCAGGACTTTATCTTGGATGGGCTGTAACTCTGATGCCATGCATGTACACCAATCAATATACCACTTCTCTATCTTATGTGGCTGATTTACATTTGAAGTGTCAGACCCCTCCTCCCCCCGACATTCTCCACGTTGGACAGGTGGGGAGTCTTGGTTGGAAGTGAAGACATGACGAAATGAGGCAGCCGCAGTGTGGTGTTTATGACATTTTCATGATACTAGCTACTACTGTATGATGACAGTTGTTGCCTTAAATATGATTTCTACCAGTAATCGTTCATAGTCAATGTATCCATGAAAGTCCATATCCATACTTTGCTCCCAGTTTATAAATCTGAATGACAGGGATCACAAGAACTTGTTATAGAAGGGTACAACATATTTGGGCCTTGGGTTACCTTAAGGTGGCGGAAGAACACAGCCCTCCAAAAGCACCCACTGATTCTATTAAAGCAGTGGTTCTCAACTGGTCCAGCCTTAGTACCCATCACCAAGAGGGGTCCCTTGACACGGGTCACACCCTCTGATGATTGCAAGCTGAAAATCAAGCAGGGGCGGGATTTTCACTCGAATCCAAGGTTAAAAGAGTCTGAATCTGAAACGGCCAGCAGAACAAGCCCTGATCTGATAACTACTTTGGTCTAGTCAGCTTAGGTGGGTGAAGTGAAACTTGCTTTGAGTAGAGATTGATAGTGGGTCGTTGTCGGGCTTTGTTTGGGCCGAGCACTTAGCTCTGTGCTTGGAAGTTTTCTGGAGTTTTGAGAATGTTTCAAAAGCCTAATATTCATGGAGCTGTCTATGCATGTTTCTTCTTACAGTCAGCAGATTTCTTGTTATGAGCATTTAGAATCATATGAAGTGTAAAAAAAAAGTGTGTATTCATGAGTTTGAAAGTGAGACATTTGAAATGAATTTTTAATCACAGCATCCCAGATGTGTGTTCAATGTCTCCCTCTTGTCTTTCCCGGACTCTATTTTGATTTGAATTTGATTCCCCGACTGCAGTCTTTATCTATTCATAAATAGTTGTGATCTGTTGTGTTTATGATGCTTTAACAAACTACCACCTCGGTTGACTTTGTTTGAATGATAATTCTGAGAATGAGGCTTTTTAAGTCTGACTTTTCAATCGACCTAAACCTTCATCTTTGCGCCCCTACCCTCAGTGAATCCTTTCTCTACCTAACATTCCTCTGACCTCTTTTATTAGGGGAAAGATTGACATGCTGTAGTTTATTCTTTGTTTTTGCAGTTCCTCCACAGTTTTGAAAAAGGCATATCCAAATATGTGTCAGTCCACCTACAGAGCTGCTCCTCACATTCTGATGTCTCTGCTCCACCTGTTACTGGCCACCTTCTTACTCGTGCTGCAGAGAGGTTGAAATGCGAGTCAAGAGACACTTCCCTCTAAATATGTCTCGGTGTTACCACCTGGATTAGATTTGGACTGTTTTTTTTTTAATTTTCATCGTTTCTCAGGTGACGGGATGTCACAACAAGTTTCACACCGTGTCCTTCTGCCACGCGCTGTCACAAAACCGAGTAAACAACTTCCTGTTACCGGCCCGGGTGCAGCTCCCAGAGGTGTCGGACAGAAAAATGAATCCTTTGTCACTCTATGCTGATGATTATATTGTGTGTATGCACGAACCTTTATGAAATATCTCATAGCTTTTAGCAAAGGTACCTGACATTAAACGGTCTTAAATGCTTGCATGTGATGTAGTAAAAGTGTTCTTACTTTACGTGTTGTGGTTTTAATCTGTGTGTGTTTGCTCGTGTGTGTGCAGGGAGAATGAGGTCCTGAAGGTCCAGCTGAAGAAGTATGTGGGGGCGGTGCAGATGCTTAAGAGAGAGGGGAGCCAGGGCAATGATGGTAAACACACACTCACACATGTACACAAACACACACACACACACACACTGCATCATTATGACCTGAAATTACATTTCATATCTGAGTCCCAGTCCGTTCATTTCGCTCTCAAACAGAACGTCTTGTAGACACACACACTAAGGTCATCAGCTCATCATCCCTCACCGCTACTGATACTTTTCTCAGAGGAGTCTTCACATTTACCACGGCTTGACGCCCCGTCACACAGAGCCAGCCTCTCACTCCTCTTACTCTGATTGATCCTTCTTCCTCCTCTTTTTTGTTTTTGACTAGATGGGATAACTTTGACTTTGTTTTTCGCTCTGCCAGGGGGATGTAAATCGCTGCTCTGTGTAAAGACTGGCGAGATAAGCCCCCCGCTGTATCAAAGGCAAATAAAAAATGAACATGGCAGATTATAGAGGGCCACAATAATAGCTAATTGCATTTTCAGGGGAGGAAGGGAGAGCAGTTATCTGTGTGGCCCTGAAGGCTTTATGTGCTGATGCATTTTATGGCTGGTTTTCTCTGTGAGACCACAGAGGTAAAGAGACGTGTTCAACTTTGTAATATCATGTTTTATTATGACTTTTTAAGGAACAAAGTCCTTTGAATCACACACATTTTAAGGAGATACTGTAATCTCAGTTATGTATTCATTAAGATGGAAGAAAAATAAAAACTCCAGTTTATTACAGAATCATTTTTGTCTTTAAGTTTATCATTGATATGACCATGGCAGATCTGGTGGTCCAGCAGTTTGAGGAAATGAGGCTGCAGAGAGCCTGGCAATACATTTGTTGAATGTCATGTTATTTTAAATGACAGGATTGATGACCAAACTAGTTAAACTATGATATGTAGAACTTTATTAGAATGTTTACATTAAAATATCGAAATGAATTGAAACTTGACTAAACCTGTGTAATATTATATTTTTTTGTCGAGTACTTACATGACCTCAAATTTTTCCAAAAGTTATCAAAGCCAAAGATTTCCGTAATTTTTTTTTTCTCCAAAATGTCTTTATTGGTTTTTACAGAAGATAAGAAAACATACAGTTGGCTTAAGAGTTGAGATTGTACTATGGTCATCTTTTGTAAACCCCATTCCTGTCTTTTCCTAATAAACCCCGCCTCCACCCATCCCAGTTAACCCCATACCCACCCAAACAGTCGGACGCCGCCATGACAGACAGAATGTTTATCATTGCCGTGGAAACACCAGACATTACGTCAAAGTCCTTAACATGAAGCGGGAGTTGCTGCTGATAGCTGCCGTACTGTTGCTGTATGTGCTGCTGTGTTAAAACCGTAAATTATGCTTGGATACATCATCGGCAACAATTCTCTTCCTCTGGTCGGTTTCGCCCGTTTGTCTTTGCTTCGGTCAACTCGGAGTTCGTTTTCATCTGGGGTGTGGAGGTGGAGTAGCAGAGAGAACTCCCATGATTCCCCACAACCCTCAACATCATCTTTTTGTTATTGTATTGATTGAGAGCCCCCTGGAGGTGGAATCTACATACTGTGCCTTTAAAAAAAACAAAAACAAAGTTAGAAAACAGACTTTCTGTTTTAACGAGCACATTTACCACCGTTTCATCAATGTTTCTCATCTTCTTGAGTTCAGTCAAATGATATTTGTTCCTTGTTAACGGGGTGCAGACCTGTGCAGCTTCGGCCTTCAACAACATGTTTAAAACATAACAGCAGCTTCACATTTCATCCCCATTGCTTCCTGGCAATTACTGTGTTCAGCCTGTCAAACAAGGCCGCCAGTCCCGCTTCCACAGGAGAGCTCAGTGGGGAGGAACGCTGACGATGGGAGATAATTGGAGGGAGAAGCGTGGATCCTGTCTCACCTATTTTATCAGGAAATAGTCATCACCTAGCTCAAAAAAGTCTTGACAAATCGGTTCCGGTTCACTGTCTTTTAAGTTTGCGGCGCTCCTCTTTGTTTGTTTTTTTTCTGCCGCCTTTTGTTATCTGTCTCCTTTATGTTGACTTTTCATTCTCCTTGAACCCTCTTCCTCTCTCTCTCCATTTTCACCCCTCCTTCATTCCTATCGTTCCCACTCGCTCCATCTCGGCTCCCCTCACCGCGACAGGCGTAGTAATTCCCTCTCCTCAGCGGCGTCTAAATGATTTCATCCTCCCTCGCCTTTGTCTTCCGCTAATGATGTGCCACGTTCCATCATTCTTTGATGTCGACTACCGCACTTGGATGAAATACGGTGTGTGTGCGTGTGGGTAAAGGAGAAGAAGTCATGTTTGAGAGGGAGCAAAAAAAAAACAAAAAAAAAAACGGGGGTATAAAGAGAAAACGGGGATGAATTGATACACAAGCACTGGTTTTCATGTGCTGTCAGCAGACTTCTCAATGATCAGTGCGCTGCCTTTTTGAAACCCCTCCTGTCTAATGATAGCGCTGAGTATGTGATCTTTGGAACGCTCTTCAGGCGACGTCAGACCCACTGACATCCCGCGAAAAGACGGCTTTCCTTTTCTACCGTTTCAGTTAAATGGAAAAGATTTTTCCTGCATGGCGCCTGTTAGTTTGGAGGGTTTCCCCCTCTCCTCTCCAACTTTCATATCAATGAATAGTGTGTGAGCATTCTTCTGACAGTACTGTACAAGTATTGTCAAAGTGCCTGAAATTCACTCATATTTAAAACCTGCATCACTTCAGTAGAGGACAGGATGTATACAGAGACGTTTGTATAACTTCCAAATTCCAAATCAATGGGCTCCATTATGTGTGATGTCAAAGTGACTTCTCCACATGGCTTTATATACCTACATATGGGTCTATGTGCATCCCTCTACATGTGCGTCATTAAGAGAAGCCATTATCAGAAGCCCCGGGGACTTGTAGTGTAACAGTGACAGTCATGTTTACTGTGATGAAGAGAAATCTCCAGGGAGATACACCAAGCACAACATGAGGAATTATCACACAACCCCGTTTTTACACCGCTCCAGGCTCTGGAGGATCCGTGAAGGTTTGTGAGAACGTGCACCGGTTTTGATCTTTGATTGTTGGCCTGGAAGAAAAATATGATTTTTCATACTTGTACATTTTCTAGTAGCAGATCAGTGCCTTGCAGTAAACTTCAAATTAAAGTCTAAACAGTGTTGATGATCATGAGACACCTCAACCAGACGCTGTATCTTTTCCAACTGTTTTTTTATTATTCTGCCCTGACTTCATCTTTCTCTGCTTGGGACCAAATCTCAAAGCCGACCTGTGAAAACCCTACCAGAGCCTGACCGACATGATCCCTGTCTCCCACCACTTTCATGTAGAAGTGTCCTTAGGAAAGATACAGACTCAAATTATTAGCAAAGAGACAGCCATTGGTGTGTGTGCATGTGCGTATGAACATGAAAACCTGACGGCCATGTTGGCACCTTGCACAGCAGCCTCTGAAATCAGCTTATGATTAAACGTGTGTATTGAGACCGCCCCCTTCTAGTCCACAAAATGTAAATCGTGGAAAGAAATCTTATTCTTGTCAATCATTTCTTAGAAAGTTGAAGAATAAGATCCTGAAAGACTTTCATGGAACTCCTCCTTGTCTGTTTGTCTGTTTGTCTTATTCATAGCGTTACCAGCCGAGCTCCCCCTTTAGGGGTGTTAGCCTGATGTTCTCACTTGAAAAGAGGGGTCCTGTCTTCTTGCTGGTTTTCAGGGGCTTCTAAATCATTACAGCTTTTGCTTTCAGCATTGTTGTTTACATATGGCTGTCTTTGGGCATGCCTTTATATAATAGTTATTTCAATGACTACTTGTCATGGTTTTGTATTTCTCTGTAATGCTAGGAAAAGAAAGGGTTCCAGCAGTGGGAGTGTGTAGACTTGAAACACAGGTTAGGGTAATAGGGAAAGTAAGAGTTTAAGCCAGACTGGCCTTAGATGGAGTACTTTTGAAGTCAACAATAGGGGGTCAGGATTACTAACGAGGTCTCTGACCGGATAAGAAAACATGCTCAGAGAACCTCGCTGTCTCCTCCTCAGTCGGAGCTCAATGTCTCCGAGGAGATAATGTTTGAAGGCTCTTCATTCTCCCGGGGGGATCTCTAATGGTCCGCACCGCTGTTTTGACTGACTGCTTTACCTCGGGGAACGATTCCCTGCGGGGATAGTCAGAGAGACTTGGGGAAACAGGTTTCACCTCCTTCCTTTGAGATGTTTGATGTTCCAGCTTTGGAGCAGAAAATAGCCTGCTATTGGAATCAGAGGCTATGAACCTTTTCAAGTGCTGGCTGGGCATGAAGAGGACACTCAAGGAGATCGATGGAGGGTCAGAGGGCGGTTAGTTAAGCTACAGTGTTCCCTCTCTTCCATTTTCTCTTCAGGGGCTTTGTGATATTTCTATTTCCTCTCTGTTTTATAACGGCAGTCTAATATTCAATTGAATCAATTCACATTTCTGTCGACACAGTCAAAGCAGGAAAAAATGACCTTTAGCATTCATACAACCTCCTGCTGTTGTTATTCTAACCTGACTATTTGACCTTTTTTTCTACTCAGTTAGTCATTCCAATGATAATGAAGACAACCCCCTGGAACTGTCCTTGAAACAGATTTGAGCTGGGTGGGTTTGTTTTGGGGGGGATGGGGGGGTGATGATTCTTATTTCTGATGTATTTTCAAGCTGCAGTCTCTTTCTGAACTTTTTTATGCCACTATTTTAAAGAGAAGACAGTGGATAGAATCAAACACCGGGGAGAGAGGAAATTAGCGCAACAATTTTAATATAATTTACGAAGAGTCTGTATTTGGCAATCATCATGTCTACATCCATACAAAGTGAAAAACAAAACAAAAACAAACAAATAACACCAAAAATCGCCACCATGTGTACAACCTATCCCACCAGTTTGATTTTACATAACTGTGTTACTATACTGTCCCCATGTTTTTCTTTGTCCTGTTTGCTCGTTTACTTATTTTGTCCCTCTTTCTAATTCATTCATTTTATTTACTGACCCTTTTCCT